ACACCTGTAATCCCACCACTTGAGAGGCAGAGGTGGGTGGATCACAAGGTCACGAGTTCAAGACCAGCCTGGCCAATACAGTGAAAGCTTGACTCTACCAAAAATACAAAAAATTTAGCCGGGCATGGTAGCAGGCACCTGTAATCCCAGTTACTCAGGAGGCTGGGGCAGAGAATAGCTTGACCCCAGGAGATGGAGGTTGCAGTGAGCCAAGATTGTGCCACTGCACTCCAGCCTAGGCAACAGAGCAAGACTCAGTCTCAAAAATAAATAAATAAAATAAATACCAGCCCTCATGTTATTTCAGCCTTATATCCTTCAATATCCATCTTTAATTGATAAGAAAATTATATAGCCATCATTCCCTCCAATACGACAACTTAATTCCACAATATCATATATTGCCTTCAAAAATAAGAATGATCTTTGAAATAACAGTGCTCAGCAATTAAAAATTCATACAAAAAATCTGAACCTGTGCTACTACCTCATATGCAGGATATATAAAGTATAAACCACTAAGCATCCCTAAAACCACAGAAAAGGGAATTTAAGCCAAAGAAAAAGAAAAGCATGAAAAAAAGAAAAACATCTAAGAGGACTGAACAGGCACTTCACTAAAGGGAAAATCCAAACAGTCAGTGAACATAAGGGAAAAAAATCATAATACAACTTAAAACCAAAAGATGCAACTACACACACCAACAGAATAGGTAAAATGAAAGAAATAACAATACTGAGTGTTAGGGAGGACGTGGAGAAATGGAAACTTGAATATATTGCTATAGGAAGTGTAAGCTGGAAAAAAAAGTTTTCTTCTAAATCTAACCATGTATACATACTCTATGACTGTTTCTATGTATATGCCCAAGAAAAATGCATGCTTCTATGCCCAGGGAAACATGTGCAGAACATTCACAAAAGTTTTGTGCATAAAAGCCAAAACTAGAAACAACCAAAATAAGTATTAACAGCAGAGCAAATAAATTATACAGCGTATTCATACAACAGAATGACACGGCCATGCCAATTAATGAACTATAGCTATATTACACAAGAAGTGTGGAACCGTAAAAAGGTATATAAGAAGCCAGACATAAAAGAATATACACTGAATGATTATAGTTATATAAAATTCAGAAAAAGGCCACACTTTGCTATACTGTTAAAGAAAAGAAGGAAATAAGTACCTTAAAGTCAGAATATTTGGTTACCTTTGGAGGAAAAGGGAAATTCTACAGTGCTGGTAATGTTTTCCTCAGTGTAAGGAAATTCTACAGCGATGGTAATGTTCTCCTTGGTGTCAGAAATGGTACACAGGTGTTCACTTTACTATAATTCATAAAGCTCTAAGTTTATGTTCTATGCACTTTCCAGCTTGTTTTATATTTCAAAATAAAAAAGGTTTTAAAATAAAAATGGAATTTAGGCAAGGATTATTGATGGATGCCAAATCCACTGAATGAAAGGCTGTTGGGGACAGTCACCTAATATTTAAGTATCACCCCATAAATCACTTATTAGTTACAAAAGGGAATACTTGACTGAATCCTTCAAGGTGGGAGGTGGGTGAGTTATAACATTACTGAGAAAATTTGATTATGGTCTGTATATTAGATAACATTATATAAATGTTAAACTCCCTTGTAATTAAAAGATACAAGCTTATATAATTCATGGGGAACTGTCATGATGTCAGCATCATATATCAAATGTTAAAGCAAAGAGAAAGAGATAGGGACAGAAACAGAGACAAAGAGAGACAAAGAAACATAAAGCAAACGTGGCAAAATATTAACTACAGGTTGAGTATCTAATGCTTGGGCCCAGAAGTATTTCAGAGGTCAGATTTTTTTCTCATTTTGGAGTATCTGCATTATACTTACAGGTTGAGCATTCCTAATCTGAAAAATCCAAACTGCTCCAAAATCCAAATTTCTGAGTTTCAACATCACACTCAAAGGAAATGCTCATTGGAGCATTTTGGATTTTAGATTTCTGGATTAGGGATGCTTAACCTGTACTGGTGAACCTAAGTAAAGGGTATCCAGGTGTATATTGAACTAGTTTCACCTTTCAGTAGATAAGAAATTTTTCTAAAGGAAATAATGGGCCAGGCCTGGTGGCTCACACCTCTAATCCCAGAACTTTAGGAGGCCAAGGCAGTTAGGTCGCTTGAGATCAGGAGTTCAAGACCACCCTGGGCAACATAGTAAGACCCCATCTCAATAAAAATTTCTTTTTTTTTTTTTTTTTTTTTTTTTTTTTGGAGGTCGGTTTTTCCCCCGTTACCCAGGCTGGAGTGCAATGGCGTGATCTTGGCTCACCGCAAC